TTCTGAAATATGGAGTATCTCCTTACTTGACCTCAGTGTCTCTAACCCCACCCTTGATGAGACCACAACCCATTCACTGCCCATTCACCACCAGCATCTGCTTACTTAAACAAATGCAATGAGATAATGGGATCCTTTGCGTGCTGTAAAAGAAAAATGTTTCTCTGTGTCATAGTAAATGTTTTTCTCCCTAATATTTCATGGCAAAATTACATGAATATTTAATAGTTTGTTTATAATTTATTAATTTATGCTTGCTAAATGGATGTCCCTGCATTACTTTTTTAGATACCATAAATAGTGTATAGTGGCTTCAGTAATGAAACCATTTGTACAAAGAAGCTCGATACACTTCCCACAGGATTATGATCCACATTAAAGCTCCACCAACAAAAAGCTGGGAGTGACTAGCCTGTGTGTGCGTGTTTTTGGATGGCTCTGGTAATTTAGTAACTTGAGTCAGAATCTGTAGTGTGTTTTTTTCAGCACCTAGCTCTAATTTAGCTCCTGATGAGCCTGGCTTCACATGGGCAGTGTCAGCTGTGTGTGTGTGCATCCCCACGGGGCCCCAGCCCTGTCTTTAATTAGTAGAGCAGATCACAGCAGGGCCGGCCCTTACTAAGAGACGTATCATTCCGTTCAGAGAAATCACAGTGACATCCTTTCTCCCACCAGACACACAGCACCAGCCACTTACCTCCTCTGTACTCACACACACTGTTTAACATGCACAGACCCACACACATTCTGGTATCAATCACACAGATGTACATGTGCACAACACATCCAGAAAACAGTCCGGCAGTGTTGCTGTATGTGTGAGAGTGTGATGGACTCTTTTGATGGGTGTTGTCAATGTGTGATATTGTACCTTGTCTTATTGACCGTATGACACCTTACCCTTGAAGAACAACATGAATAGAAGATAAAAATAATAAAGAGTGCTCTCAAAATAAATAAATAAATAAATGAAAAGCACAACTTTTTTCAACATACATTTCTTATTAATTTTTCTTGGGCAGCAAATCAGCATATCAAATGATTTCTGAAGGATCATGTGACACTGAAGACTGGATTAATGACTGTTGAAAATTCAGAAAATTCAGCATAGGAATAAATTACATTAAAAAAAATATTAAAATGGAAAAAAGTTATTTTAAATGGTACTATTTCACAATATTACTGCTTTACTGTATTTTTGATCAAATAAATGCAGCCTTGATGAATATAAGACATATTTAACATTTACCTTTTTCTATGTTCCATTCAATTTATAGGAAGTTCGCAGCTTTTTCAACCAAACTTTTGTAACTAGGTTACACAGGGGAAAAGGGGTTTCAAGTGACATTTTGCCTGGATAGATAATTATTTGTTTTTTTTGTGTAAAGTAAAGATATGTTTTGATAAGGCTTGGTGAATTATTGGTGAAACGATGTTTTATATCAATTTTATTATTATTATTATTTTTAACCTACATTTGGATATTTGTATGTTTTGTATATTTTTTACCTACTGTATGTATATTTGATCATTTTTTGATAGATAGATAGATAGATAGATAGATAGATAGATAGAGTGAGAGAGAGAGAGAGAGAGAGAGAGCATATACTATCATAAGAGCACAGTGATCTTGTAAAGGATAATTACCACCCCTCTGCCTGTCCCTGTGCTTTTAGTGTATGTTGGTCATCATTGCATTATTGCTTTGAAGTGTCTCATGGCACAGGCCACTCTGACCTACAAATCTCACAATCATGTTAACATGAGTGAAGAAAGTGGCTAGCAGATTGCGGAGGAGCGTTTTTAAGCTGCAATGATCTCCTTTACTCCTGGTTTTCCTGAGACACTGTGAAACGGTTTAGATTTACTGTAATCCAAACCACATGCTCTCACCTCACGCTTTCATTGTGGAAAAACCAAACAATTTCTTTCAAAAATATTTGGAGGTTTGCATTTCAGCATTAACTCTGGTGGGACTCTGGCAATGATTTGCAGGGTGATTGTTGAGAAAACACTTCTGATACTCTTTTAAGTTTATCTATATCCTTTGTTTGAGTTTCTGTTTTACTTTTGACCATCCTGAAGATGAATTCGTCCACTTGGATATTGCTGTAAGAGTCATGTTTCTTTAAAAACAGGGTAGGGAAAACAAGGAGTCAGGACTAGTATGGAATATTTTTTCTAAGATTTTAGTGCCAAGAATGAAAACTTAATTCACACCCCTCCTCCAGGAGTACAAATGATTCACTCTAAACATTTATTAACTCTGCTGTCCACTGAAACATGTCATCCATTTGATAAATGAGCAGAACCTTTTAATATGAGAAGCCAGACAAACAAAGAATGATGGATGTGTTTAAATGTATTAATTAATCTTGCACATTACTTACAATTTAGTGTCTATGACTAACATCTGCTGTCGATTAACACAGAAAATAATTTTAAAAAATTAAATTTGTATAGTAATGTACAATGGAAACCTGGCAAGCAGGCTGGAGGGTAGAAAAGCAGAAATATGAAGCTTGATGATTTTTTTTTTCTTTTTAAAAGCACTTATGTGAATTGTTTTTTGAGCTGTCTAAATATTTTTTCTCCGTGGACGAACTTTTGGTTATGCATTTCTGACGCATAACGTTGTAGTTGGCACAAATGCTGGAAGAAGCTAATGAGGTTTTCTCCTTCTCTCCCTACATTTTTTTACAGAACATATGGCACCAGCACTTCTGTTTTTTTACAAGTCGTTAGACATAACTTCTTAATGAAATTGAGCCGTTTCACTGCACTGCACATGTGTGAATTTTTTTGCTCTAATTGCTCCTGTTGCATCAATGCGTTCTGTTCACCTACAGAAACAAAAGCAGCAGCAGTTTTTGCTATCTCACATCGCTCATTCCTTCACGGCTAATACACCCAGAAGGAACATCCACAGATTGCGGTTGGCAACTTTCTGATTATGGTGCAGGATTCAAGATGTATTTAATATTAGGTGTCCCTTGAACACAATACAGCACAGAAAGTGCTGGGAAAATGGTAGTTAATTTGATATGTTGTTTTTGGGCTTTTGCCACTCTTTAATGATGTATAGCATGAGACTGAAGGGAAATTGCAGTGGAAAGACAGATGGAATGGGATTAGAAAATGGCACAGACTAAATCAATCCCATTGCTGCATCCCATTTTGCATCCTAAATAGTATGCTAACTTAAAATTAGTGCATCTTAAATCACTGTATGCTAGGAAATAAGGCCTGGGTGATATGGCCAAAATATTATCACAGTATGTCAATATTTATATTCAGTAACGATTAATGGTGATGGAAATGCTTTGCACATGTTTGTTAGACCTTAATAAATGTAAACATACGTTTTTTGTTTTGTTTTTGTTCACAGTTTGCTACCTTGAATTTCGTGGATTTTGTTTTATGATTTAATACAAACTTATTATAATCAATAATTAATTAATAAACAGTTAACAATTTAATCAATCTTTTAAAATGTAATCAAATTAAAATATAACAATACATTTACAACAAAACTTTGAATTTTTATATTTTGTCAAGTAATATGCTGCACAACAGAAGTGTATAAAAACGTGGATGAAGAATATCTTAAAAATGATGATATTATTATTATTACTTTGAGAAGTACGTTTTAGTTTGCAATAATAATTAATTTCTGTCATAATTTATTCAAGTTAAACCGAACTTAAAGGTTTAGTTCACCCAAAAATGAAAATTCTGTCATTAATTACTCACCAAAAATTTAAATTCTGTCATTAATTACTCACCCCACACGCTCGCGTCATGATACTGTCGTGAACGCGCGTCCAAAGTAACGCAGTAGAGACTACATTTTTTCATTTTTGGGTGAACTAACCCTTTAAATATTGGTGGTTTGTTGTAAACATCTTTGAGTTTCAGTGTGTGTTTGATGGTAGTTTATTCTCGAATGAAATGGAGAAATTCTTGTGAAGTGACTCAGAGCAGCTCCGGAGATGAAGTACATGTGATGACAGATGCTGAAAACACAGTGAGCGTCACGTGGGTTTGAGTTTGCCACTCATTCACGCAGAGACACGCAGAACATGTCATCTTATTAGCGGCATGCACTGACTGGTTTTTGTCATGTCTATTTCTGCTGTGTGATAGGCTGATTGAATAATCCATATTGAGTAAAAATGGCCAGAGCATAAATTTCATTGCAATCTCGATATGAGCCATATAAGAAATAGTATTCTAAAAAAAAACATAAGGTTGAATTCACACAATTTCCGCTTCTAAACTGCATTATTAGCATGCAAGCGGACCGCTGAAGGGCCTGCCTGAAATAACCTGAGTCTCTTGTCAGTAAAATTGGGTTCAGCCTCCCCAGCCCTCAGGAGCTGACACCTTCCTCCTATTGTTAGTTAAATACTGAGGGCTTTGTGTGTGTGCTGTGAAAAGCTGTATTTTAAAAGGACTGTCTGGTGTTATTTGTGGTACGGAGGAGGACGAGTCAATACAGGTGCTGCCGTGGCCGCGTGTTGGGCTGCTGTTTCCTGCTGCGTCTATTCTGAGCAGCTTTACCTTGGCATTCATGCGGTGTGACAGCTTAACTGCAGTGCGCGTCCCTACTGGAACAGATGAAAGGCGAAGGTCTCGCTCAGATGCGTGGTCTTCCTCAGCGTGAGATGAAATCTGGCATTTAAAAAGAGGCATTCCATTTACTGCGTCCAGCAGCAGAGGAAAAACAAGATCCTGGGAGAAATCTGGCATGGGATAAAGGTTATGTTGATAAAGTCGTTTTTGTTTTATTTTATTATTTATAGACCAAGCTGAATTTCTAATAGAAAGATATTAAGTTTTATTGGCTCTGAGGAATAAGGTGTTTAAAGGGATATTTCACTCAAAAAAGAAAAAAAAATTAAAATCTGTCATAATTTTCTTACTTTCATGTCGTTTCAAACCTGTATTATGTTAATTCCTCTGTGGAACAAAATGGAGAAGTTTAGCAGTATGTTAACGCTGTTCTTTTCAGTGTACAATGAAAGTGCTTGTAAGTAAATGTAGTTATATTCAAAGTCATCTTAAAGGGGTCATTGGATTTTACATGCACTTTTACAAATTGTTTGAACTGAAATGTGTGTTGGCAGTGTGTGTACACAACCACCCTATAA